ATTTATAGTAATTACTATTTAAATGGGAATAAGTCATAATTAAAGGTTAAAGTTAGTTTATTGACGTTTTAATTTCCACTTCGGAAATCGTTCTCAAAATACAAACATTAGAAAATTAAACAAATTTTGTTTTTTTGTTGCTTGGTGAAAAATTCTTCTAATAATTTAATTTTATTTGACTCATTTATATTGACAATTCAGACACACATTATACATTTTAAAGAGAAGACTTTAAAATGATATTGCCAATATTGTTGAGTTGCGTTCCTGGGACGACTTTACTTAAGATAGTTCATTCGATTACATGAAATCAACTTTAACTTGAGATTACCCGTCAGAAAAAATCATAGCATGTAATTCGTATTTAAAAAGACAAACACATGCCATGATGACAGTAAAATTCCCCTGTTAGTGATTCCTTAGTAAATTCTGAGGGAAAACCCAGGAAAAAACCTCGCAATACTATCCTGCCATGGTAAGTATTTGGTCGTGCATTTAGTTTACTTTCAATAAACACCAAATTCTGATTTTATGTGTTTGTTATTAAAAAAAAATAAATGATGTATTCTCTATATGTTACTTACTTACTAATATTGTTATTTTTCTTTTAATAACTTCGTCTTTTAATTAGGGTAACCAATATTAATAATAATTAACTAATTTTAATGCCAACTACATAGGATGAAATCAAGGGAATCCTATTTATTATTATCCTAATAATATTTACTGTGTGAGTAGTGTTTTTCTCCAAATTGGAAGATATACATATGTATTGTCCTAGTGAGAAAAACACTACTCACGCAGTAAATATTATTCAGTTTTTTTTTGTCTCATGAAAAGTGCATTTTTTAACATATCTATGACATTTTGCATTAACGACAACGTTTTATAATTATAGTTTATTCGTCTTCCGGGTTTGGACCGTGTCATTTGTGAGTGACCCAAAAGTAGGTTCATCTCGACGTTTCGCTACAATTGTATGTAGCTTCTTCAGGAGAACAAAGAAAAAGAAATCAAAAGGCAGGAAGATGGGTAGTTAGCAACGGTAACTCAGTTACTCAACGCAACCAGAGGCGAATACTAACTACCAAGATGGGCATTTGGTCACAGTAACTCAACTACTTAACGCAGCCAGAGGTGAAAACCAAATGCCAGGACAGGGATTCACGTCCAACTCCCCGCCTCTCGACGCGTTAGTGTTCTGAGCTGTTGGACGTGAATCCCTGTGCTGGCATTTGGTTTTCACCTCTGGCTGCGTTAAGTAGTTGAGTTACTGTGACCAAATGCCCATCTTGGTAGTTAGTATTCGCCTCTGGTTGCGTTGAGTAACTGAGTTACCGTTGCTAACTACCCATCTTCCTGCCTTTTGATTTCTTTTTCTTTGTTCTCCTGAAGAAGCTACATACAATTGTAGCGAAACGTCGAGATGAACCCACTTTTGGGTCACTCACAAATGACACGGTCCAAACCCGGAAGACGAATAAACTATAATTCTGACTCTGGCCGTGGAAGCCTACGATTTGTTGTCGATCAATTGTTATTGATTAATTAGCGCTCAAAGGTAAAAAACAGTAGGTACTTTATCAAAAGCGCCATATTTTTGTGAAAATGCTTATATAATAATTTTTAATACATTGTGAATACATAAAGAAGCACATTTAATCCTCAACAAAATTAAATTTTATAAAACCAGTTCAATCCAATTGTTGCTTAGACATAATAATTTGTTTATCCTAAGACGAAAAAAGTTAAAAACTAGAACTTTTTGAGAAAAAAAATTGCAGGGACCTGAGTTTCAAGAAACTATGTTTAATTTTTAACATCAGAATCAAAAGTAGTGATCATTTAAATGAAAAACAGTTTATTGCTCAAATTAATCATTCCTGCATGATAAGATCCCCTCAGTTCTCGGCAATAATCAGTTCTTTGCTTGAATTCTAGAATTAAAAGTTCTAGAATAACATCTACAAAGAAAATGAATTTTCTGTAGTCGGCTGTAAACCTAGGTACCATAAATCACAAAAAAATTATTAAAAAAATCCTTTCTAACAGGTATAATGATACATCCTTGATATTCCGACGTTTTGCAATCCGATACAATCGGTAGTCCGACGAACCTCCTGTCAAGTTTGCCGCCATGTTTGCTTGTACTAAAACCTGTCGTGACATAAATCTCATTCTTACCGGATGCATTATTTCATGTGTTTTAAGTGAGCAGTTCAGTTCGATAGGGTTAACTCCGACTACGATATCTAGATTCTATGATAATGGACGTGCTACAGTGTACCACATTATGGAAAATAAAGACAAAATCAAAAAATGTATGAAATCTGTAGAGAATGATTCTAAAAACAAAAAAACTCTTAAAATAAGTTAATTTCCTGATGTTGAAAAAGCTCTGCACATCTGGTTTAAGCAACAACGAAGCAGATATGCTCCTAGTTTGGGTGACATTTAAAAAAATAAAGCTCAGTTTTTTATCAGAAATTAACAAAGAAAACTGATTTTCGTGCTAGTCAAGGTTGGTTGGAAAACTTCAAAAAACAGCACGAAATACGATTTTTACAGATAAGTTAAGGAGTGGAGATGAGTCTGAAATATCTGAAATTATTCAGTATTTGAGCAAAAAGATCACTGAATTAGACATAATTTCTGAACAACTTTATAACGCTGATGAAACCGATCTAAACTTATGGCAACTTCCAACAAAGACATTTGTCACTTCAGAGGAAAAAAAAGTTTTTGTTAGAAAACTTCAGGAAGAACATCTCACTCTTAAGGTATGCGCGAATGCATCAGGATCCCACAAATTTAAATTGCTAATCGTGGGCAAGTCCAAAAAACCTCGTGCCTTCAAAAATGTTAAAATTTAGAAGCTACCAATTACGTACACGTGGCAAAGCCGTGCCTGGGTAACAAAAGAAGTTTTTCTGGATTGGTATAAGAACAGCTTTGTCTTCTCTTCTTAGGGTGCTTGTCCGTTCCGAACGTTGGCGATCATTCTGGCTATGATTATTTTATTGGTTGCTATACGCAATAGCTGTGTTGAGGTCTTTCTATACCATGCTCTCAGGTTAGCAAGCCAGGATATTCAGGAAAAATGCATTGGAGTTGCTCGTATCTGCCTTGATTTCTCAAACAGCTTTGTCACAAAAGTTAAAAATGAGCTAAGAAAAAAAAACTGCCAGTGAAAGCCCTCCACTTGTTAGGCAATGGTTCAGGACATTATATATCGAGGCAATGTACTTACCGAAAAATACTACTGCATCGATTCAGCTTATGGATCAAAACGTTATTAAAACTCTCAAGGCACACTACAAGAGATAACTCCTTGTGAATATTGTAAGTTAACCTAATGCTGAGATCATTTTAATTTTGAAAAACTTTAACATCAAAGATGCGATTATCAATGCTATATTTGCATGGTCACTGCACTGATTAAATGGTGGACGAATATTTGTCCCAACAACCCATTCCTTCCAGTAGAAGTTAACAAAGAATCCAATGACCAACTTGTGTAAGTTGTGTATTATGTAAGTTGTGTGTAAGTTGCTTTTCTTCAAATTTACAAGGATATGACTAATTCATCAGCATCAAGAGAAGCTGTACAAGAGTGGATTTTTGATGACAATCTCCATGCTGACTTAACAGATGAAGAAATAATTAAAGGAATGACAGAATCTGATTAACACGCTAAACAGGAAGCACAGGATGAAAAATATTTTACCGTCAACTGTGATGCTATATTGGCTGCAAACACTTTGATGCGTTGGTGCGAGGATCGAGCATATGACTTTGAAAAAATTTTGATAAAGGAGATACAAGAACAAGCAATGACATACTGTCTAAACAAGAAAAAGCAGAAGACAATTAAAGATTTCTTCAAAGTGTGAGCACAGTATGAATTTACATACGTCCATAATTAATCTACCTTAGATGCGGCATTTATTAGTGCGTATATTGTTTATAAGTTATTATCTACATACTGTCTGTACATTAAATTTATTAGCTTCCATATTTCTTGCTACAACGTGTTTTAGTTAGACGAAATGGGTGTTATTTGTATATTAATCTAGGTAGCATTTTAGTCGTAAAATTTGGTATACTCTAGGCTACTGCTAGCAAAACAATGCCAAATATATAATCACTTTCAGTAAACCGGACACTTTTGGTAATCCGAAGTAAGTCGGATGTTTGTTGGTAAGTTGGTAAGTTTTAGACGAAATCTACTTCATGTTAACCTAAATCCAGGTTGCTAACCCTGAGACGAAGTGCCTATGAGGATCTGTGTAGGTAGCAACCTTATATTTATTGACTTTACTCATGTATAACTAGTAAACGCACTGATAGTGGAAAACTAATTCCGAAAACCTTCTGTGACATAGCCCGAAAGGTTTTTTATATTATTATATCTTTTATAAAGATTTTTTAAATAAATTTTTTCTCTGGAATAAACTTCTACAGCTTCAGATCAAAATCAAATATCGAAATCGGTTAACTTGTCACTGAGATATTACAAATTTTTTCAGCTTCACCACTTTGAAGTTTAGAATTCAATTTAAAAAAAGTTATCACATTGTGGTGATAAAATATAAGTCCTTAAGAAGAGAATGAGTCTTAGATTAGGTCTCTGCTAAAAAAGTTATGGCCCTTTACTATTTGTCTTGGGATAAACAAATTATCATATCTTAGCAACAAATAAACCGGACGGTTTTACAAAATTATTTATTAATGCATTTTTACAAAATAGTATGAAAACAATATGAATTAAAAAGTGCATATTTTGTTATCGCACAGTTATGTAAAAATTTGCTGTTGCCCAGACTGGGAATTGCTTCTGACATCGTCTTTCATAACGTCGTCAGCCTGGGCTAGTAGGCAAAACTTTTGGCAACTAATCGAATTCGTTGATTGTACTTACATAAATGTAAAACATAATTTAATTATAGACATGTTTTCTCCAATAGTATGGAGAATAAATAAAGTACAATTTCAGTTTTTGGGATTCTATTGTATATTTATTATGTGAAAACACGTGTAAAAATAAATATATAAATATGTAAATCTTTATAAATTTGTAATAATAAATATGATAACATCTTAAGTATTTTATAGTTACTCTTGTATACTGGAATAATACATTGTAAGTTTATTTTCTAGATAATCGTGTAATTATTTTGTCTGGACTAAGTTTAAAAACTCTTCTCTGGTTTTAGGATCGTCTCTAAAAACTCCCAGCATAGTTGAGGTTACGGTTTTGCTGTTGATCTTCTGCACTCCTCTCATAACCATACACATGTGTCTGAAAAATAAATTAAACATAAATACTTAATAATATATTTTTTATAGCGTATTAAAATTAAGTATATAGTATTTCGTCAATAATTTTTCGACCTATTCTTGGCATGATTTAGAAAATAATTTCACAACATCGCACCAGAAATGCTATGGGAAGCTATGTCAGTAATATTAGTGCTACATAAATTTGGATATACACGTTTTATGTTACGATAACCTAATGTACGAGTTTTTTCCAAGCCGGTCCTGAGGAGGTAAACCTTTTCTTGAAGGGTGTCCCCAAAACTTCTACGGGGATCCAGAACCGGCTTTGATGATATTCCAGAACGATGACGGATGTAAAATAAATAAGCGAAGTTAGATTTAGATTTTAGTCTAAAATAAATTGTTGTATCCCATAAGTTGTACAATAAATTAATATAAATGATTGTGTTTTTAGTGAATTAGAATAAGCGTAGAAAATTGTAATAAATTAGAATAACTGCAAATAAAGTTTAAATAAAGTGAATGTTAGAACATTTCAATAATCAATTAAAAGACTGTATATAAAAGATAATAAAAACATTACATTTATATTACATTTATACAGTATGATGCAAAAGTATGGAATAAATTTATGATTCCAGAAACAGATAACTTTAAAAAAATCTTAGAACAGGTCAATTTAAATCTTTGAATGGCCATCAATAGCTATATATGTGTTGGACATTACGTCATCACTGTGTGCTCTGCAATACCTGCAGAGCTCTACAAATATTAAGGTGAACATCTAGTCGTCAGAGATAAAAATGCCATTGAACCTCTAAAAAAATCATACAAACAAGCTGATCAAGCATGTATTGTTTGAAAGACTTAACATAGATACACACTATCTCTTCGTCGACTTTAAAGCAGCCTATGCCAGTGTGAAAAGAACTGCATTATATAATGCAATGATATAATTTGGGATCTCACCCAACTAACAATGCAAAACGTAAGCTCACGCGTTAGAATTGAAGGAGAAAACTCTACGTTTTTTGACATTAATAATGGTCTAAGACAGGGACGCGCTGGCGTGTCTTCTCTTTAATATTGCCGTGGAAAAAGTAATCAGACAGTTAAATATTAGAATGAATGAAACTATTTTTAATAGATCCACGCACATTCTCACATTCGTTGACCATATAGGTATAATGGACAGAAGTATGAGAGACATGGTGCAGTGTTTTACAAGACCTGCGGACGTGGCAAGTGAATTACGACTTGTGGTTAACGAGTACAAAACCAAATATATGTTGGTTTATAAAAACTTCCGAAATATGCAACAGAGAATTCAAATTAACCATTCCTTTGAGCAAGTCAAAGAATTCAGATATCTTGGATCGTTAGTAAAAGCCACAAACACGACAAGCGACGAAATAAAAAGACTCATAGCAGTAGCAAAGAGAACTGTTCATGCTTTCTAGAAACTTTTAAAAAATAAAAATATAAAACATGCAGTAAAGCTCAATATATACAAGAGCTTAATATTGTTCTGAAGCTATTTTCTTGTGGCATTGTAAATTAATTACTATTTATAACTGGGAATAAGCCACATTAAAGATAAAAATACATTTATTGACGTTTCAATTTCCAATTCGGAAATCGTTCTCAAAATACAAATAGTAAATTAAACAAATTTTGTTTTTTGTTACATAGTGAAAAAAATTCTTCTGATAATTTAATTTTATTTGACTCATTTATATTGACAATTCAGACATACATTATGCATTTTAAAGTAGACGACTTTAAAATGATATTGCCAATATTGTTGAGTTGCGCTCCTGGGACGACTTTACTTATAAGATAGTTCATTCGATTACATGAAATCAACTTTAACTTGAGAATATCCGTCAGAAAAAATCATAGCATGTAATTCGTCTTTAAAAAGACAAACACATGACATGATGACAGTAAAATTCTCCTGTTAGTGATTCCATAGTAAATTATGAGGGAAAAACCAGGAAAAAAACCTCATAATACTATCCCGACATTGTAAGTATTTGTTCGTGAATTTAGTTTACCTTCAACAAACACCAAAATTCTGATTTTATGTTACGTTATTTAAAAAACATAAATGATGTATCCTCTATATGTTACTGACTTACTAATACTGGTATTTTCTTATTAATAACTTCCTCTTTCAATATTGGTAACCAGATCCTACTACATTCTGCCGAGGAATTTGCGACACAATTGGCCTCATTTAGCATAATTAGAGCCGCTTCTTTGATTTTTCTTTTTTTACCATCCGTTTCTTTTAGGACTATATTTGAATTATTCCATTGAACTCTATGTTCATTATCCCATGCGTGTTTACAGATTTGAGATCTATCAAATTCTCTATTTTTAATATAAGATTGATGTTCACTTATTCTAACATTTAATGGCCTTGATTAATAATATAATAATATAATTATAATATAATTAATAATATAATAATTAATAATATAATAATTCAACATTTCAACAACATTCAAAACAACAAACACGTTGAGATCTATTTTGTCCAAAACCAAACCTAACAATGAACAAGAAAGGACAAAGAATTGCATTTATAAAATACCTTGTGAATGCGATCAGTTTTATTTAGGTGAATCATCAAGGCCATTAAATGTTAGAATAAGTGAACATCAATCTTATATTAAAAATAGAGAATTTGATAGATCTCAAATCTGTAAACACGCATGGGATAATGAACATAGAGTTCAATGGAATAATTCAAATATAGTCCTAAAAGAAACGGATGGTAAAAAAAGAAAAATCAAAGAAGCGGCTCTAATTATGCTAAATGAGGCCAATTGTGTCGCAAATTCCTCGGCAGAATGTAGTAGGATCTGGTTACCAATATTGAAAGAGGAAGTTATTAATAAGAAAATACCAGTATTAGTAAGTCAGTAACATATAGAGGATACATCATTTATGTTTTTTAAATAACGTAACATAAAATCAGAATTTTGGTGTTTGTTGAAGGTAAACTAAATTCACGAACAAATACTTACAATGTCGGGATAGTATTATGAGGTTTTTTTCCTGGTTTTTCCCTCATAATTTACTATGGAATCACTAACAGGAGAATTTTACTGTCATCATGTCATGTGTTTGTCTTTTTAAAGACGAATTACATGCTATGATTTTTTCTGACGGATATTCTCAAGTTAAAGTTGATTTCATGTAATCGAATGAACTATCTTATAAGTAAAGTCGTCCCAGGAGCGCAACTCAACAATATTGGCAATATCATTTTAAAGTCGTCTACTTTAAAATGCATAATGTATGTCTGAATTGTCAATATAAATGAGTCAAATAAAATTAAATTATCAGAAGAATTTTTTTCACTATGTAACAAAAAACAAAATTTGTTTAATTTACTATTTGTATTTTGAGAACGATTTCCGAATTGGAAATTGAAACGTCAATAAATGTATTTTTATCTTTAATGTGGCTTATTCCCAGTTATAAATAGTAATACAAGAGCTTAATAAGACCGGTTTTGATATATGGGGCTGAAACGTGGACCTAATCTCAAAATGATGAAAGACTTCTTGGTATTTTTAAGATAGAAATCCTTAGAAAGATTTTTGGGTCCATAAATGAAAATGGACTATGGCGTCAAAGATACAACTTTAACTTATATCAGTTATACACCGATCCAGATATTGTGAAATTCGTTAAATTGCATAGACTTACATGGGCTGGGACATTGCTAGGATGTTAGGTCACGAATACACGAAGAGATTAACATTTTCAAAATTAGAGGGCACAAGAAGTAGAGGACGACCAGAAACGAAATGGATTGATGATGTAGAAGAAGACCCACAGATTCTAAAGGTCAGAAGATGGAGGGAAGTTGCCGGGAATCGGCAGAAGTGACGACTTCTTTGTGAGCATGCCAAGATCCACAACGGATTGTCTAGCCACTTATGATGATGATGATGCCAATTTTAGAACACCAAAAAATATGCAAACAAATTTTCCCACTCCTAAAATTTACAATAGGTACTATAATAATACCAATTATAACACAAGCTAGTAAAAGCTAGATATTTTCCAAGAAACAATAAATAAAGATAAATGCAATAGAAATGAAACATATTAGGAAAATGTCAGGTAAGACTCAGTGGGACAGAGTGAGAAATTAAGATACAGAAATAAAATTTCTCAAGAACAAATATTGGCAAAAATCAAAAAGAAACAAATGAATCGGTTCGGTTACGTGGCAATAATGAGCCAAACTCGACCGGTAAAGAGAATAATGGAAATGGAAAGGCAACGAAAAGTAGAAGAGGCAGACCAAGAAAGAAGTGGCTGGATTGAATAGAAATATATAGAAGTGAAAGAGGAAAATATGTATAAAGAGGATAAACCGGAATCCCACTCCGACACCTTAAAGGGTAGCGGGGAGAAGATATGGAATTATGGAAATCTACATAAGACAAAAGAATATAAACTATCATTTTTTTTTGGTGGAGATCAGTAAAATTTATTTATTTAGTCCTGCAAGAGAATAACTTATATATTAGGAAGAAAATCTGTGTTTTTAAAACGTTTAACCTTCTTTATTGCAAAATATTATTACACATGTAAATATGTTTAAAAAGATTAGTTTTGTCAAAAACACTGATAACCAATATTTAAAATTAGTAGTTTTTACATGTAAAAGTAATAATTTTATCCACTTTTTAGCTACAAATGATGTTAAATTAAACAAATGATTTATATTTATAGTTTTATCACATTATATACATTTGTTGTATAACCAAGAAATGCTCATATCGAGGGAACTAATTATTTTTAGGTGACTCAATATCATAATAATGTTTAGAAGATAAATAAAAGGTGTACATCATACGATAATTAAATAGATATTCTTTAAAAACATAAAAAGCAATAATTGTCTATTTCTATTTAATTATACATTACGTCACTGAGATGCCAATCCCAAAAGCCATTATTGTATGTAGTATGTATTTATTCTTTAGTGCT